CTTCCATCGCAGTCGATTAACCGAGCTGAAATTAATTAGATAACCGGCGGGATGGATGCAAAGTATTAAAAATGAAAGTTTCGTTAAACTGTGATATGTTCGAATTTTCGTAATAGCGACAAATGATAATGGCTTTGAATTTTCTTTCTTCATTATTTCCACTGATGAAAGTTTATCAGCACATTCTTATCACTTTGTGAACTGTCGTTAACAGAGGTCAGTAATGAACAATGGTAACGGGTAAAAGTTCTTTAACGTCTTTTGTCGTATATGCGTAATCCTAAGGTTAACACTACGGATCAATGCAACACTGTGAACAAAACTGCAAACTCCGTCTACAGTGTTATATTAAAATTAAATTGAAAATTAAACCCTCACTTCTAATCTCCAGAAAAGTGCTATATGGTTCTTTTTTAATCGAAAATAATCGGCAAAGACGGGTTCAACTGCGTGATCGGATTCAGCTGACTTTTAAACTATGACATCATAAACTCAGCCTGTGAAAATATGTCAGTAGAGAAATAGATACAAGCATTTAGTCACATGGTTGGTAAGAGTACAATTTCAGTATTTTAGTAATTTGCAAAAATATTTAGGTTTGATAAATGAAAATGCAAATAGAACAAATGTAGAGCAGTAGGCATTAATAATCGTGAAAATTGTTGAGGCATTTCACTATCGGTGAGGCAGTTCTTCGATTCATTCAATCATTTCATTTCTATTTATTTCCATAACCTGCTTAGAGTAAATATAAGCTGATGAAAGAGAGAAAAGAAAATGATATAACATGCATTGTATAAATGGTAGCATATACAGGGCTTCTTGTTTACAAGAGAAAGTTGAACAGAAATGGAAAAAACGGTTAAGCAAATAGACATATTTAATAGATTCGTTAAATATGTTATTGCACTGTGTCGTTTAAAAACGACCTAATTTCACCATTGTGCAACAAAACGGAAAATATTCTAAATCTTCCATAATAAAACCCCGGTTATCGAAGTTTGGAAATATCTAGAGAAGTGTTGCCGCTGATATCGCGAGTAGAAACAAAAGACAATAATCTCCCTTTTTTTTTGAAAGCCAGACATCTTTGTTTTATATGCTCATATCGTCTTACATTTGCTCTAACAAAGAACCCAACACCAATGGGTGCTCCATAAGAATGCTAATTCTTGTAATCATAAAACGGTACAAGGGCCCTCCCAGTTGAAGAAGCGGAGGGTCCTGAGCACCAATCCATTTTTTCAAATGTGTTTCATTGAGGTCGGTTGGATATAAGGTATCGGGTGTGATTTAGTCTTTTTTGTTCTTAGTGTTTTCGTTATTAATTTGTTATATCAATGTCATATTTGCAAGTTCGTTGTTGTATTAATAAATTTATCGTAATAAAAGGTTTATTTACCCAAATTTGAGGTGCTATCAACTAAAGAGGCAGAAAGAACTGTTTTTGTCACGACTGAAGAAAATCGGCGACAAGTGTGGCACAACGATAGAGATATGTAAAACAAGCAAGGTTGATGAATTTCATGTTCAAAACATCTCGGAAGATTATTTACATAAATATTCAGGGCAAAAATCAACTATATCGAGTGGCATGATATGCAGATAGAGTCGTAAAGAACCGGAAGAAGGCGTGAGATTGATCTTGTAGTTTCAAAAAGAACCATCAGGTAAATTACAATATGTGGATTGTGAGTAACAAGAGATGATTTCTAACAACGTCGCTTCTGATATGAACAAAGCTTGAAGACCAACTTTCCAAGTTACTTTTATTCTCTCCGTTTTCTCTTCTCTGTTCCCAGTCTCATCAAGTTTTTGCGCTTAATTTAAAGGAAACTTTTGACAGACCCTAAAAGCCAGGGTCGTTTTTTCAAATACAAAAGGTTAGGCACTACGAAGTCATTAATCTGAAGGTCAGAAATCCTTCTCTGCAAAAGTAGCGAATTGTACGTTGCTACTGAAATGGTAGTAGTAAGCTTCACTACTTTAATAGACTTTTCACATTTTATCTTTTCTTTGTTGTACTTCGCCAACTTTGTTTTCCTGTTTTTTTCCTAATTTTCATTCCTTCCCCTGTTGTTCACCTGACACAATCAAACTATTTACCATTGGGACAAGGCTTAGAGGGCTTAGAGGTCAAACCGAACTGTTTTTGTATCTGAGTTACTAAAAAGCAAGACTACAAGTGGAAAGAACTATATCCCAAAACTAGCTGTTTCTATTGCTTCCTTTCCCAAATTTCAGACAAAAGTTTCATTTCATAGAGGTCCCTTAGGACCTTCTATTTATCATTAACAAATAAATTAACGTTGCCCGTCATCTGCTTTACTTTATGTAATTGAAACAATTAAGTTGCATCTCTCCCAAAATGCTGTTAATGCGAATTAGTATTGCTTGAAGTGTGCGAAGCTGCCCTCAATGACCAGGCTTTATTCAGCGCTGCCAACTATGGCACCTCAAAATGGTTACAGCCATTCTTTTTCGGGAGACAAATAAAAATAATAATAAGGAATAAACACAATAAAAGCTCTATGTCCTGGTAGGATTCGCGTACATTACTGATTCAGCGTCATTCAACCATTAATAACGGAAGCTATGGGACCGCACGTTTCACAGAGTTATTCTTTGATTTTCTATACTAAGCAACGTTTTGAGCGGGAGGAGTACGCGGTGGGAGGGTGTGGATTAGGGTTTATGAGTTAAAGAACTTCGAAGTTTTTGTTTTAAGAATATAAGTGCTTGATTTGCAGACCAAAAAATGGGACGAAGGCCAGGTAGTACGACGAAATCTGGCCGATTTATGAATCCAGCTGATCAAGAACGCAAGAGTATGCGGCAAAAAGAGCTTAAAAGAAATCGAAAACAGAGGACTATGGTTCGACATGCAATACTAAAAAGCAAAGATGTCGATGAAATCCTGGAAAACTTGTCGCGTCTGGATGATCAAGGTAACTAGAGAAATTGTTTACTCATTTTTATAAAATGATATTCACTCACTGGTTGTCTCATTTCTACTAGCACATACTTCAGCGAATAGATTAAGCGAAATAACTTATTAGCTAGCTTTTTCAGGAAGCTCTTACACCATGACCGAGGTATAAAGGCCCACTTGTGGCAAAACGGTGCATTAGTTGTTCGGACAATGCCGGTCGCCTAATCAGTGGACCTTATTGTCATACCAAAACGTGCTGTTAAAAGGAACTAAATTGTACAGCTTAGAAATTGAAGAAGAATTGACTCGTACGGTTTATTATCAACCAGAAAAAAAAATGCTGTAGACTGAACAGTCAGAGTACTTTCTCAAACAGCGTAGTATCAGCATTTCAGAATTCGACATACACGTGGAGCATCATAGCAAGTATGTTTTCAATGAAAAGCGTATAAAATTTAAACAGACTTATAACGAAGTAATGAACTTGTACAAGCAGGAGAAGCGAGAAGATAAAGTGAAGGAGCTAGAACAAAAAATGTTGCAGTACGAAACGGAGAGAGCTCGAAAAATACAGCAGTATAGTGAGTTTTTAGACTTGGTCTTCTTTTCTTTAAAAGTATTTTAAATTCTGATGAAACTTGGCATAAAATTCCATTCACGTTTCAGTTTGTACCAATTTTATTGAGAATGATTTTAGATGCATTACGATTTTCGCTGGAAGCCAATCCTGTAGAAATTCCATTACCAGATGGCAGTTCAATACCTAATGCCGCAATGACACCTGTAATACCTGTCATACCGGTTCAGTTTTTAATGCCTCAAGCACGAGCTGGTATTCTAAAAAACTCACACATCACCCGAGATATCAATGACCGAACAGAACCACCAGGACCTCCTTGCGGCTTACCTCCACTAATTGGTTATGAAGATGATGATGATGATGATGAGATGCCTTCCAAAAGACGTGTACGCTTTGAGGAAGACGTATCAAGCAATTTTATAAGGGACAACGTCGAAACAGCTGATGATGATTTCGGGCCAGTTGAAAGTAAAGTTAACACCTGGTTTTTCCTTTCCATTTTATAGAATGAAAGGAATTTCTCCTGGTCTTGAAACACTATTCATTTTGGTAAATCTTCGTATACAGCCGAGCATCTCGTGCTTTTTTTATTTGTCATTATTGCAGTTCCCATGGAAGTACTGGAACATGGCCAACTAACCGATGTCGATGGTGCGAGATCTGTACCGATGTTGGCACCTGTCATTCCACAACAACCATTGTTACGTGCACCCCCATTACCTCCCAATATGTTGCCACCTCCTCCTCGTCTTCCCCTCCGTGTTCCTCCTCCTCCACCTCACTTTCGTAAGTCTTGTTTAATATTTGTTTTTTAGAAAAAAAGAACTAAAGGTTTTATGAAAGCTATTGTTTAGAAGCTAATTATATATTTGTCTATAGCAATATAATGTGATTGAAAATTCCGTTGATACAGTATTTTTTTCATTATGATAGGGATGCCGATTCCGTTTATACGTCCACCAGGAACCAGTTCTGTAATATCAGCAGAGCCAGTAGTTCGACGAATAGGGGGAGCTCCAATGAAAGATAGCGGAGAAGCCACAATCTCAGCAGAACCAAAACTGAGGGATTTGACAAAAGAAGTTACAAAATTTGTACCAACAGCACTTCGAGTTAACCGAAGCAAGCATCAACCAAAAAAGACCATTAACAAGTATGTTTTCACAACGATTCATTTCTGAACTTTTTTTATTAGTTCATAGTTTTGAACGTAAATTTTTTGTTTCGTGAACCATTTTGGGATACGTTATGAGTACTTGTAGTTTGGTTTAACTGCAACGTGTTTCTTGATTTCAAAATAAGATTTGACTTCAGATTTAATATGATGGGACTACAAATCGAATCAGCGCAAAGAAAAGAAGCAAAAGATACAGATGAGGCTTATGCTGATTTTATGAATGAAATTTCTTCTCTTTTATAATTAATATTTCTTCGGAATTGGTTTTGCGCTTTTTGGACTTTTATTTTGCTTCGTATTCATTAAGATATATGTCGTTCATTTCTGATATCAATAACACTGGATTGCGTAATTGAACAGGATGCAGAAAAACTTTGATAGTTGGAGATTAGACATATAATTTTATCTTTGACTGAAATTAGTGTGTCAACATGCGGCATGGAATGCTGTAGTTGTGCATGATCCAGTAAATGCATCGTCGAAGTGTGGGTTCCTTTATTCTGTTGCATTGCTTTCTGGTTTTATAGGCCATAAGCAAAGAGCACCCACTGATAGCAGAAAAATCAGAAAGCTTTTAATGACACAAAGGATAGAGAACCAGAATGAGCTGTTAGCTTGTGGTTTCATACACGTTTTCAATGGACAACAAATTAGCTACAAGAAGCAAAGGACGACAAATGTGAATGTCAACGGATGAGAAGTCGTCAACTTAAGCTGCTGCTGTTGTCGCTTGCATATATAGCAAATGTCATTTTGATGCGGTCAGAGTCATTTATTTTTTAAATTTTTTTTCCTTCACTGTTTCTGTTCGAAGCATCAGAGTTATGAACCCAGTTGTCGTAGATTGGAGATTGTTGGCATTGCATGGGACTGTAATCATAGCACTTCTAAGGCGGGCAATCGTCGAATTGTCTTGATCGGAATTTATGTTCATGACTCTTCAGAAAAGTATGTGAGCCATGGTGAAAATCAATGAATTAACAATGGTTTTATTCTAAGTGTCACTCAGTTCGAAAAATGACAGTTTTTTGAACTGATGCTAATAACTCCCTATTAGTTAAATTTATACTTTTGTTTCATATTTATAACAAAGCAATGTTTATATATCATTCCTATGTCATTTATAACTTGAACAATCAAAGAAAGTGGTCGTCTACGATAAAGTGAAGGCTGAAGGAGTTCCTACTGAATCCAAATACTTTTAAAATGCCAGATTGACTGTAATGGGAAACTGAAGCGGAAAAAACAGCAAATAGGTAGTATTTTGTTGCATGATACTAATTCTATCACTTAATATCACTTGCAGGTACGGTAATTAGAATATCAGCATCTTATTTTAAAGCAATGGATAGATAGTTGTGGTACTTAATTGTGAAAACGAACAACCCATCTTTTATATAAAGTCCATAGCATAGTTGTCTGCTAAAGCTGCTGAAATACTTAACCAAGTTAAAAACGTAGCACCAGTGAATAATTATTTTGCCCAATTGATGCTCTAAATTCTTTTACAGTTACTACAGTTGAAAGGCGCTATCACTTCTGTCGCCAATTTCATTGGCGGTTCTTAAGCATGTTGAATACATGAAAATGTTTTAACGAGCACTGCTTTATTGGAATGCTGGACAATGTTTGTCATCTTTTTTCTCCTGTCTTTTTCATATTATTCAAATAACTTTAGGAGAAGTGATATTTTTTCCTAGCTAACTTTCTACACATGTGTTTATTCATCTTGATTAGTTATTTAAAAAGCAAAAAAAGACAAAAACTGTTTGGAGAGGTAAATATTGTGCTTAGAGATTGAAATCAAACTTATGCAAATTCAAATTTAAATATTGAGTGTTGCTCGGTCGGTAGTAAAATTCGTGTACTGATGATTTTAGCAAATTAAATTCTTCTTTATATATTCAAGGACAAAAGCCGATAGTACCGTGCTTAGCGCTGCGGCAGATTTTAGGATTGTTCAGTCATTTACGCATGTTTTCCGAAGTTTTGAATTTTTTGCATGGAGTGGACGAAGCGTCTTTATGCTCTGGCTCTCGATCGTTGCGATCATTTCTCTTTCTGTAACAGACACTCATGTGTAATGTGTAATGAAAGAAGTCAGGTTTTTCCGGAACATCAAACCAGAAATTTTTGCTGTCGAAGATGCGATTAAGTAACTGATTGAAACAGATGGCAACAATCAATTATTATTGATATGAAAAGGAATTTTGAGATAAAGATTGGAGTTTGCGCACTGATAATGCTCGTTTCAGTACATCGATATGTGTACTCTAGTGATTTATCCTGAAATGTACAATATCGTTTATCCATGGAACGAATTGCAGTTGCGCAGATAGCACTGTTGGGAAATTTGTTTTTCTGTTGAAGTCGGTTCTCGGCGATACAGATTTATTCGGGATGTAATATTGTTCTTGCACAATATTAATAGTTAGCACCAAGAAAAAGGGTATAGAATATATATGTATAGCAATGAAAAATGAGTTATGCAAAAAGCAAGTAATATGATCAACCAACAAACACCTTGTCGTTACCTTGGACAATAGTTTGATTGTCGGTTAGTTGATAGGTCGTTGAGTTGGGGATGTTACGGGAAATGTATGTAGCGAATAGAAAGAATATAGTAGCTTGCTGTCCAGTGGTGGCAGATATGGGGAAAATGTCGTTGGACGCGGAGGATAAGCGAAGAGGATGTATCGTCTGCTCAGTTTTAAAAAACCGAACTGTTCTGGATTTTTCCTTATGTATGTAAGGATTAGGGAGGAGTTTTGTAAGCTCCATCCGGGTTGTCATGGAGGTATGGCTAGCCTTTGGCACTGCCATTGTGTAGGTACAATGATATCATTGTCCATGATGTAGATATTGAGACGTTTTTTGTGTTATGCTGTCCATTGTTAGCTTATGCCCTCTTCATTGCTTTAATTTTACTTATAAGATTTCGTCATCCCGTTTGTTGGATATTGTGGAAATTTTGTTTGAACGTATTTTTAATTTCGGTAATTCGACAGAAGATTTGCATTATGATTTTCGGAGTTTTCCGACAAGTACATGAACGAGAATTGAGAATGATCACGGTTTATTTTGCCTTGAAAATTGCAAACTCTCTGTTACAATTTGTCTTCTGCGGCAAGAAATAATGATTTAGTACGAAACAATCGTGGAATTTTTTTGCATCTTTTTTGGAAATATACGGTCATTTTTGGGAATACACATCTTGGAAATATGTAATTATTTGACATCTAAATTACATCACAGAGCAATACACTGTTCTGAATGTTCAAATATCATCCCTTCCTATCAAGTTTTTCATTAAAATTTTTTCCATTAGTATTCATTGAGACTTAAATTCAAAAGAAAAACTGCCCATTCATGTAACAAATCTTAAAGCCTACTCCAGGATGGGCCTCAACAGTTTGCTCATACTTTGCGAAATCGGGTCTACTTTTGCACAGCTTAAAGGACGACAACTGGTCCTTTTAAATGTGTCCCTTACAAGGAGTAGTCTTTTCAACTTGACTGATTTTCCTTTCATGAAACGTTTGATGTAAGTTATCTTCTGTCGGACCAAAATGATCTAGCATCAATTGAACAGCAGTAATAAACATTATATGTTTATTATTACAGTTTAATACTACTGCAGCTATCCTGTTGAACGCTAATTAAAAACTACTGAATACAAAACTGAAAGATGATATTGTGACTACTCACTTTAATCATCATATTCTTTATCTGTTTGAATCGCAGCTTTTTGGACTTAGAAAAAAGTAGCCATTTTTTCTTTGCACAAAAGTTACTCTTCTTTTTTTCCGCAACTATTTTTTTTTTTTTTGCTCAACGAGTATTGTTTGCAAATAATTTCCACGAAATATTTTTGTTGCTTTTTTGGAACTTTTCTAAATTTCGTTTCAGCATAATCTTTAATGTAGCCTACCTTGTGAAACATCTCTTTTTAATTGCATATTCATATTTATCTTGAATGCATTTAGATGAAAGGAGTGATTTATCACATAACAAAATCAAAACATTCATTTACGACTCATTTTCTTTATTATATCAAGTATGCCTTTATTTTCAGAGAACTTTTTTACTTTTTTAAAAACTCTACCAACAACGTTTTTCACATTTAGGTATTCTATTACCAACAACTTTTTTCCAAACTATCCACTTCAATTTTGATGTAGTCCATATAATATTTTCAAGAATTTGGGGCTATGAAAGCATGCACAGCATGAACTCAAATTGTGCATCTTCAGCACAGTGCATTGAAGATCCACTTCCAATTAGAATTAGATTAAAATTAGTTAAAGCTGACAGTTTCTTATGTTGCATCAGTTCATTTATGGATCATAATGTGCATATATTTATTTAATCAAGTATAACTCAGTTTTAATGGACATGCAGTTGGAAGCGCTTGATTTGTCATACAATGACATCAAAATAATCCCGAGCATCGATTTGAGACAACTTGGTCTACGTACCCTGAGTTTACACACTGTTTTGAACAAATTGCAAACTCTGAACTCAAACATCCTATGTTGTACATAAGTCTTATATACAGGACCTTTCATTATTTCTAAAAATCGAAGACAGTATGCTTAGCCTGATTTGAAAAACTGATGACTATTTTCAGTTATTCTATAATTACTTTGTCGGAACTTGATTTAGCATGAAACGAATAAATAAAATAAACGGATTCGATTAAAATGTATTATTTGTGATATACATGATATAACTTGATTGTAAAATGAATGCTTATGAATGGAACTGGTATAAACTCTTCATATCCATATACCTAAAATACGAATTCATTAAATTTAGTTATTTCAGGAGATTGGTTTATCTTACAGCTCTAAACTGCGAATTTTAGAACAGTTTGTATTTTCTCATATACCAAATTTGCGTGCTGTCAATCTAATCTACTCCAAATCATTCACTTATCTATCACCGCATATCTTTATCAAGAATACTGTGTCATATAAGTTATAGCCCTTGATCGCTATTTGCTTTTCCCGATTTTGATTTGCTTCATGTAGTATATCTTCGTTATCTCAAATTTTGAAAATTTAGCTAGGCGTTTTACACTGCACGCCAGAGATTTTACGAGATGAATTGTTATCCGTGATGTCACAAGGCTTTTTTGATCACAATCCTTTGCGTTGCGGCTGTATCATTAAATTTATTGCAAAGGATATAACACATCTTCGCAATCTATAACAAACTAGCTGCTCGTTTACAGAGGGAGTTTTAAGAAGGTACGCGGTGATACTCAGTGTTATCGTTAGTGCAGTTAAATGGTGATAAAATGAAATATTAATTCAAAACGAATTCAGATGATTTCAAGAACAGACCCAGAGAAACAATATTTAAAAATTTAATCATCCTTTACATATTACAGTAAAGGAAGTCATGCGACATGGACGCTTGAATAATATCGTTAAGAACCTGTGTTCCCGTTTATTGAATAAACGGTGAACAGTACTCCATTTATTGCGTATCACGTCAACAACTATCGAACATTTTGTTATTGGAGATTCTCAAACCTGACTGATGTTCCAGCTATAAATTATTTTGTAAATCTCCATAATAGTGGAGATTCATAACTATCATTATAAGTGTTTACGAAATACTATTTGATTTTTTATTTTGACGAAAATGGAATGAATAGCAGGACGGTTAGCTATCGCCATAAAATCCATGGCGCAGTTACAACATCATTTGGGTAAGAGTTACAGAAGTACATCCTACTGCTTCCCTAATTTGCTGAATATAGTATTAAATGAATGATTTCACATAAATTATACAGGGATTAATTATAATAATTTGCAGAATTATACTTTCTGCTCGTGCTGTGCACTGATCAATGCTGTGCAGGAAAGTACTCTCAGCAAACCGATTTATGAGACGTACTTGCAGCGGCATACCAAATTTATCATTCGTCGAATCCAACCTGTCCACTTTACTTATCGCTATTATTACCACACTAGTTTTCTGTTCATTGTCCTTCTTCCGGGTACTATAAGCGCGTTCCTATATATGGTAGATGCAAAAACACAAAGCATTTCAAACCTGTATTTTGAACTCATGAAAGAAGCTCTCTCATTTTTCCACAGAAAATTGCCACCGAACTTAATACCATTTTATTACGTTTCTGCGAGCAGTATATCATATTTAAAAGATAAATAAAACTCCTTATGAATCACACTTAGCAATAATAGAATATACTTATTTTTATAACAAAGTAACTCTGTGCTTTTCAGGCCAAAAATAAACCAAAGAAATTTTCATGTCATTTGCATCAAACACTGTTAAGTCCCAACTGCCGCCAGTCGTAGGTCAATAATAAATTGAAGAATGAAAGACTTTTATTATTCATTCATTGCGACACGTTTCCTCAAGGTCGCATGGCGTTACGTGTTAAATACTGCCAAAAAAATAAACTCCTTGAAAGAAACCTGTCAATAATTCATTCTGGTTAACGTTAACTTTAAGCTATAGGCTTTAGATAGTTGGAAGCGTTCAGCAGATAATTGTTTTCATCTTACTTAAAGATCTCAGGAATATGCCACAAGCTAGGACATGTGAGGAAAATCTGTAATAAATGTGAGTTACTTGGTAAATTATCAGTGACCAATATATCCCAAACTAATGCTACTGTAATGAACATTTATAATCTATGTAATACTGCTTTTTACAATCTATGAAATACTGCAGTTAAGCATCACTCAATGTATTTCGTTAAATCAGTGTTCGATGGCAAATGTCAATCAAAAGTTCATTAATGATCTTTGTGATCGTAATCGATGTTCAGCTATGTCTTTTTGATGGAAATCAAGCTCTGCGAAAATCTATGAATGAATACGCTAGAAGAAGTACTAAATGGGTCAATGAAAGTGAACACTAATTAATCATTTTTTATGGTCTATTTCATGTATATGAAATGCTCTAATTAATTCTTGGAATTCAAATTTGAAAACTTCATTAGAATAAAATTTTAGTGGATGTAACTCTATACAAAATGAGCTCCGTGCGTAATATTCAACATTTTAGATCGCAGAAAATTTAAAGATTTTTGAATTCAAGAGCTAAGTCAAAATATCTCGTATTGTATGAAATATTTTTCATTTCTTTCTCTTATCCTGAGAAAACGGATTTATACTTAACTCACCGTACCGCACTGTTAATGAATGCTACAATATGATTCTTTGCTGCTAGAACGGCAATTATGGCTAGCTGTATTTTATTTCACTTCAAATTACCATTTATTTCAAAACTTTGTTGCCTTCGATAGTTTTGCGAAGTTTATTCTTAAGTTGCGCCAGTTTAAAGATTTTGCAACGAATTCCATTTTTATTATAACTGTGAGTGGTGTGTGCATGCACACATGCATACATCCATGCATACAGATTATCTGCGAAATCTTCAATGAACACAAGCAGTCAAGTCTTTTTCCGCTTTTAGGTTCCATATCCCTTCAACTTTACCTTATCAATGCAGTAAACGGAAGTCAACAAAACTGCCTGAATTTTCAAAGTAAAGGCTTAGATGTAGCCAAAGCGTAGAAAAATTAACTGAATGTTTCACTAATTGCCGAAAAAAATCGAATGAAAAAATTTATCCATTTTAAGAAAGTTGTTGATTATGAATTAATTACCATTGTCCAACGAATAAAATCGTCTGGCTACAAAACCCCAGATGTTGAGCTCATTTGTCTAAGAATACAATTCACAGGTAATCTTGAGAAATGAAACTGTGGATGTATCCAGAAATGGAGAAAAGATATTGAGGAACATCAGAATTTTAGATGTGCTATTTTCTGGATGCAATCATAGTATCTGACACGATTTCCGACTTACAGTGTCTCAGATTTTTAAGTCATGAGGTTGGCCAAATAGGAGGCGTATGAAAAAAAAGACTACTGGTTGTATGCTATGCAATAAACAGGGAAAAGAGGATACAGGTAGCACGTATGGAAAAACCTTAATTTGTTGTTAAGTATTCTGAAACCCCATATTTTCTCAACTAGTTCTGGAAGTTCTGGTCAAACAATCACACAAAGAGCGATCTTAGGTACAGTTTTAGAGAGAAGCAAAAATAAATAAATAACATCTAGTTTTTCCAGGAGGTTGCAAACAAAAAATTCAATACTTCTCAGAAATAAAAATAACATATTCACAGATTCTACTTTCTCGCAGAAATTTCTACCTATGCAAGAGTCAAGTTTTACCAAAATGGTTAGGCGCTATTTCACAAATCTACTTCAGCAGTGAAAATTAATGTTGACATGTTGATGAGCAGGGAACTTTCATTTGTCGTTGATAGCTTGTAACAAGGATGAACTGGTGAGATGGCAACTGTTTTCAATAATCTTCATGGAGAACTTCCAGAAAATCCCTCAAAATCAGGCCTGACTTCTAATTCCATCAAATGAAGATGGAAGTGTGCGAATATACAGGAGATGCGTAGTCATATTAATTGAGGCATGACACATTTGTAACTGTTCTCTGCCCTTCTTTGATAAACAGGGTATTTCATTTATTTTTTTATAATCTTTAACTTCACTTCGCAAAATTTTCACGATAAAATTTTTTAAATAAACTGACACTCAAAATAAACCCAAAATCCAAGATATGCAATCATTTTACTGAATTTGAGGCACATTTGATCTAATAAAAAGAATCGCGTGGTCAAGTTTGATATCCGGTGTCCTAAATATTGGAGTTATGATGCGTTCTTAAAATAGATGTAGAAGTAACTGCATCGTCTATAACAGATTAGCTAGTGTGAGATTTCAAGTCAAGGGATTTACAAATGGGATTAATTTTATTAGGTGACCCATCGTTTCATTTGTAAAGCAAGACCTGAACTCACCTAAAATTTGGAGAAAATGCAACTGCTAGGATGAAAAAAGTTGCTGTTTATTTAAATTATTTGCAACGACAATGTGATATTGCATTCACGCATTCAAAGGTAAAAAATCCTGAAATTAAAAATACTAGTCCAAATGTAGTTTGATGCAAAATTCGAGGTAAATTCGGAATCATTCTGTTTTTCATACAGCAGTCACCACGAAGGCGTAAAACATGTATTGGATTTCATAGGAAAGTATAATAAATTTTGAGGAATTTCTTTTGGTTCATCATCCTGTTGTTGATTATCGATCAACCTCTTTTACCACTGTTCTCGAGGAAAATGAAGTTGAAGCCATTACACGGAAATTTGCTGATCGTATTCCTCAAATGCTATAGACCTCAAATACTCTTAGCACCATTCCTGCATTATTTAACTCAATAAATCGACGACTTGAACAAGTTAGTTTAAAGATACAGTAAATATTTTGATAAATTTAAATTGACCTGACGAACTTAGATTTCGCAGATTGAATTATGATACGAGTTTTTTTTATTTTACTCAAATTCATGATTTTCCAAGACTAGTTTCAGGACAAAGCCGCATTCAGACAAGGTAAAAATGAATTAAGTTGTTGTATTCCACAACGAAACCAAAATAGGCTTATTTCTTACCGAAATAAAAAGGAGTTTCCAGATAAGAAATCCAAATAATTTGCTTTATTAAAATAACATAACAAAGTGTACACGAAAAGAGAAGTTAAGGTGATTCAAAAGGTGGAAAGTGTATATTTGAAATAACACAATCGCGCTATAACTGTGACATAACTCTTTAAGTTAAGTTAGCAAACAGTTTCTTTAGTGATACTAACCTAATAAATTTTGATTTAATGTAGTTGACGGGTCTAATAATTGCCTAGCAACTTTTTATATCTAAAAAAAAAAAAAAAAAAGAAAAGCTACAGAGAAGATGAATTATACTGTTACCGCAGGTAATAAGGAATAAGGAAAGCTCGAGATCTTTATGTTCAAAACAAAAAGCACCAAGATTACATATCATTACAAATCATCTATTTTTTGGAATAGTACTTCATTAATTATGTAAAAAAAATCCTCCCATTAAAATTGAATGAAAATGAATGGGAAACGTAAACAATAAAAATGTTTGACAATGAAGATGCAGTCCGTAGGTTTGCAATATAAAACGGGTACTCGGTCAGGATTTCTGTGTGAAACCACATTTTCTACTCATAAATTTTACTTTTTCTAATTCACACGGCAGTGCGCACAAACGGCAGCCATAATATTGAAGCGCGAAATGAAGAATCAAGAAAAATTGATGCAAATTTTCTTAAACATAAATATACAAAAATGCATTTTGAAATTATTAATTAAGTAATAATGAAATGAAATCGATTAGTTCAAATATGTTGCTATCGTCATTATTATCATGAAAGCAGAATTTGTGATTTCATCAATGCAAAAAGATCGTCACTTAAAGGGTTCCATACCACATATTGTAGAGATTATTCTGATGTCAATATTTTGTCGTCTAGAAACAACTTGTGAAATATATTTAAAATTTTACCGGCAGCCCAATGAACGAGCGAACTAACGCAATTAGTTGAACAGTATACCCCGTAAACTTCCTAAAGGGGCTATATTTGGACGTATACGTAGCCGCGCTACCGCTAGTATTTTCAATGCATATTTTAAAAAATTATGGCATTTCTTCTACTAATCTTCTTAATGGCAACTTTCATCATTGTTTTCAAAGAGTAATGTACACTGTTTGATAAAATTTTCTTTTTCAAAATTCCTAACCAATTTCGCATATTATTTATAAGTTGTTTGGAGATTATTACAAAAAGGATTGCATATTTTGAACGAAATCCATTCAGAAAATAATTGAGAAAAAAGTACAACTTTTAAAAAATAAAACTGAAAATTAATTTTCATACCGTAAAAATAAATTCAGCGCTAAAGATGAAGATATATGAAATAGTTTACAATATACAATCAACGCAACAGTGAATTGATCTCCGACAGAATTTTCAGCTAAGCGATATCCCTTTTGGCAGCAAGATTATACAAGTTTACAAAAAGGCATATTTAAAGATAAAAAAAATTACTTCGAGAAAACAAATGAGCTGATTCGTTCGCAACACTTTTGTTCGATTACGATAAATGACTTTTCCACTGTGCGCGGTATTGTCGATATTGACGATCGTAATTTGTCAATATGTATAATTTTTTGTCCCACAGTTGTTCACGCCAATCCTACTTTGTGGATGTAGGCACGTTGCACATTAATAGTACCAATACTTCAAATAAATAAGTAAACGAAAATAAACGATAAATGTGTCTGTTCTCGCTTCACCTGTTCTGATCGTTTTTTGTTGAAATCTACCACTGCTGCATCTTCACTGCTTAATAAGGATTAGGGCATACTTGATTCGCAGTTCAGACGGCAGCACTGTTTAGTCTAGCAACACTCATCGTAATCTTCAGTTCTCATTTAAGTAGATATCTTGAAAATTTAAAATTGAGCCCATGATATAGATAATATGGATAAATTATCACCATGAATCAAAAAACAATTTTCTATAATTTTGTTCCTCATAATCTATATTAAACAGGACCAAAAAAAAAAAAAAAACCAGGGAACTTGCTCTCTTGTAAAGACCGTCAAATTCAGTCCATCCTGAAGTCATGTTAAACTTGGTAATACCGAAAACACGAACCCATAAAAAACAAAACTCGCTTTAAACATTTGTTTTTAATTGTTTATTTTTAATTGTTGATTGCTTATTATTTGCTTGTTTGCGTATTATACCGAAGAAATTTGGCATAATGATCATAATGCAAGTTAGGTATTAACGAGAATGCCCTGCTAATAGGAAAATACGTTTACAATTTTTGCTTGCTTTTTCCTAACAAAAAAATTATTTATGAAACAATTAAATAATAAAGAAATTTAGCAATGGAGAAAAATATTAACTATTATTTCCCGCGATAAACAAGCTACATAAGGGTAAAGATATAACTATGAAAAGTGAAAAGAAAAAAAAAGTAGTCACCCACTTTAAATTAACAACGTTAGAATGGATTTAGCTGCAAAATAATATTAACTTTAATTCTTCTGATCATTTATTATTTGTTTATTTATATTCAGACCCATAAAATATATTGCTGTGAATGGAACTTAAAGATTTAATAATAGAACTTATTGAAACAAATAATCCAGCTTATTAAAAACAAAATTCCTTGCAGATAATACAGACATTCCGATATTTTCTTCCTTGAAGCTAGCATAAATAAATTTTTTAAGAATTTTAATTGTAATTAACGCGTAAGCAAGATTTTAGGACAGAAGCACATTCGACAGAAATTCGTAAAACAAAGCTGCTTCATCGAAGAACATATGTCTGTCTCATCTTCATATATGCAAGTCAAACATTAATTATTGTACCGCATAAAAATTTAGTCAACCACCTTTTCAAATTTGTTCGGATGTTTTCAGAGAAATTATAACAAATACAAGTCGGAATAATTCATTGTCGAAACGTTTCAAAAATAAATAATTAGTCTAATGGGTCTCCATAATTTAAGCTAAACCATTTTGAAGTTCTTATCTTCCGACATTTGGAAACGCTTCTCTTGCTTTCAAATATTTCATAACTGAAATAAGGGAGGCCTTGAAATTTGCGCTAGTCTCGCCCTCATCGCTCAGCAATTAAAAAAAATTATTTTGATTCAATAAAAAACGACAGGGCAAAAAAAACGGGAAGTAATGAACACTTAAAATTTTAACGATAATGAGATGTCGAAAAAATCTTCACCCACTAAATCCAGTGGCTAAATTTTTGTGAAATTATACTGGAGTCAGTTCGTAATTATATCACTCAGTGAGTTCGTCAAAAAACTGGTGATGAGATAACAATAGATAACAGAAGCAGTCGCTCTCTATTGTTTGTCAAAATAGCCAGAAAAACGAAAAAAAATCACTTTTTTTTAAAAAAAATAAAGTAAAAATATATACGCAATGATTGGAGTTCCTTTTTTATGATCAGGCGAAATAAAACTGACTGCGTCACGAAAATCGGAAAATGATCGAATTTCAGGGTAATTTTTTCTCCAGTACTGAGTAACCTAGATTAAACTTCAAACAAATTTTTTGAAAATTTGCCGATGAAATACAAATGAATCCTCGGCATTTGTTTTACTGAAGAAATGTTCATTCTCGTTAGATTTCTACTTGTAAAATATAGGAAATTTCCATCATAAGAAAACAAGTCATAAGTATTTTTGCTGAATTAGAATAGCCCAAATACGTGGAGTTCGAAAAAGAATGGAATGGGAAATGTGGACCATTCTAATCTCTTCATATCAGTTATCACTTTAACTAGCATGACAATATGTTTTTCACCAAATAGACGGGGAACCAGTAAAAATTTAAATTCCGCTTGTTGTGTTTTCGTAGAATGAATAAGTGCCGTCCAAGTAGTTAAAGTATGAAAGAGTTCAGATTATTGTTCTTGCATACTTCAAATCATAACGTATTTGAGAGGTGCTTTACTCCCTTCTAATTATATGATATTAGGGATTCATCCTGATCTTGCATATACTCCAAATATTTGCAGAAGTACTTTCAGATTCATATTTCGAGCTTTTTTGCGTGGGGTACAAACTTTCCAGTGAACATTTAATTCTTTCATAAGAAAGGTTTTATTAAAAAAAAGAAATACAATTCCTCCTTTTCTGTGAAGCAGCGAATTGTGAATGATTAGGTGAAGTAATTATTGTTTTGTTTCTTTCTTTTTTTTTTTACTTGCAAGGACTTAATTCGTTTGTTCCTCTTCGTAGCAAAAGATTCCACATATTTCAACTATCAATATTAATCGACATTGTATATTTGGTAATTTGGTATATATTTGGTAATACTCACCCTAAAACGTCCATCCCAATAAGTGGATGAAAGCCAGTAACGATCAAATGGTGTGTAATAGCCATAACGATAAGGATAGGAATATGCGTAACGATAACGTGGATAATCGTCATAATAATAGTAGTATCGACTGTAGTACGACGGATAACCATATCTGAAGAAAAAGAGCTTTCGACGTTACAGAAAATCCAGATATCCTGAGGTGCTAAAATCCTCCCAAAGGTTTCTTCTATAAATTCGTGAAGTTGATAAGTTACATTTCCTTTTGCTGTTGGAAGGGGAATTAGTTTTGAAGAATTATTTTGACCATTTTGGAAACAGCCCATAAGAAACATACAAGTATCCTCTGTACCGAGTCCAGTAGCTGTATGGATAGTTCCAATAACTATATGGGTTCAAAACGTAATTATTATAGTAGTAACGACGGGGAAAGAATGTACTGCGATATAACGGACTGTAATAATAGTGGCGATCATACCAATAATCATCATGCTGCAACTGTTTGATTTGAAGTTAACGAATACGCAAAGATTATTTCAAGATAAACAAGGAAATCAAACATTAGTTCTTTTAAAGATGTAAGAAAGATTTTCAACTAAAAAAAAAAAATTTGATGCGCTCATAGCGTCCGATTTCCTATCTCCGAACTATGTTTACAAAAAAATTGAATGACCGTTGGATACGAGTTCTTGAAAAAAAAAGATTAAAGAACTTGTTGTCATAAAACCATCATTGTTAATTGAAATTTCAGGAAGTAGAGAAGTAAGCATAAAAATTAATCCTACAGTTACCAAATCCCAGTCTCTGTAGTAGCGATATGGCCATTTCGAAGTGTAACGGCTATACAGGTTTAAATCTGGCACCGATCGCGTTCGATAAATCTGCAATATTCACATCCAGTTTTTAAAAACGCGACATAACTAGGCTTTCAATAAGGATGATGATATTGGGGACAATACCGTAGTAGAATAGGACGGTCTCAATACGACAGCGGACTGTGCTCGAACAAGCTCCACCATTTTGGCTTGTTTTGTTTGAATTCTTTAAGTTAAATTCAGCTTTCAGATCTGTTATAATGACGATTTCGACGGCAGCCTCACACTGCTTTTTGCCACCTTATCTGTGTTGATATTCGACTCAACAAAACATAAAACATAAGAGACAGCGGCTGAATAAACGAGCACTTTGAATTCATTTCTTTTTTCAACTTTTCAAGTGATATTCGAAAAACATGGCTTTGTAAGTGGTACTTTTGCAAATTTCAGCCAATTAGCAATAACAAGTTTCTTGGTTCCAACTACGGTGATATTATAAGAAACAAATTTTTTTTCGTTGGTCTACTCTTCTGGGAAGAACCTATTTCATAACAATGGCTTTGCAGAAAACAACACAAAAACTTCAAGCTTTTGTATATCTCAATACACCCATTGCAATCAAAAATAAATAGAACTTTTACTAAACCAATAACATCTAAACATCTTATAAAATGATAAATTTGGCTGAGAATTTAAAATATATGGATGATAAATTTGACTAAATATTTTATTTAAGCAGGTAAAACGTGGATCATATATTCATCCATATTTAGTTTAAAATTAGAAATTGTTCCTGCGTTTCATATAGAGCAACTATTTCAAAGCTGAATGGAAAAAAAAACTGAAAATTACAAATTGAAGGAAGTCTCAGATGGCGAAATTAATTTAATAACATGCATTACTTCATATATTGATCAGCATAATAAGCACCCCGGCCCACTTATCTGGGTAGCTCACCGTTTGACAGCTGTAACTTGCTTAATGAAACCTTGAGCTTATTTTCAAATCTCTCCCATATGTTCTAGCTGTCTAACCGAGGTAGGATATGTTCGCGTACCGAACCCCATGGTCCTACTGACATGGGGTCGGAGGAAAAGCTTTGCAGTTTCACGAAAATAGTTGCCACCTCCACATACCCTTGCTTCATACCTTGAGCTTCACAATCTGTTGTCGGAACTATCCGTCTCTTTCAGAGAAAAGAGAAATTGACAAGCACTTGAAAGCGAATCAACGTATCCCACATGATCACTTCGCAATAGGTTCACCTGGATCATCAGCAAAAAATAAAGGACGGCTGTCTGATGATTGCCCTCTTCCTGCATAAATTTTTCTTGAAAATGAATTTCCTCTGAGATCAGTGGAAGCAAACTATGCATCATCGAGTAGTTTTAAAAGAATGGAAGAAAACAGTATTTTACACTACGTTTTTGAAAATAAAATGGTGCAACAATATACGTATTAGAAAAACCAAAATAATTATAATATGAAATTATTTGGCTCTAAACCAAGTAAACTTATGCTTATAATTATTTCGACAGCAATAATAATGTGGAAATGTCCCAATCTTATATCAACTAATGGTGGGAACGTTATAGACATTCGACAACTCATTCACATGTAAATTCTTGCCTAAGAATTAATCTCGTATGTAAATTATCTACATGCAGAATATGTAAAAACCTTATATGCAGCTGTGGTAATACGATATACCTGGTGCAGCTACATGTTATTGTAAGCCAAACCAATTTATCTACAATATATAAGTCTTAACACAAATCCTTATGTTCATTCAAAAATATCTGACTTTATGTACCCCTAGCATTGTGTCTCTTTTATCATTGAAAAAAATAAAGTTTCGGATTAACTGTGTTGCCGCTATCGATCATTACACCAACTCCATCGCCTTTTATTACGAGTTACTCTTCTTTTACAGTTCGAAATCTTCCGTAACTCATTTCAAATATTTTATTCACTCACCAGTTCAAAAAACGAGCTTTTGCGACAATATGTGGCTTAACCCTAATGCATTGAAAAAGAAAAACATGAACTAAACTATGTACTGTCAAGCCAACGTAACTACGATAATGGAAATTCTTCCATTTCTTGTATTTTGTGCCACATAATTACGATAATTCTTGTTGTTGCCGGCAAAAAAAATTCAGATATTAAATTTGAAATAATTTTGCCAATGAAAAACCATATGTTAAACTCATATGTTAATAAGAACAGATAACAGCAAGCAACTATGATACTGTTTTTTTTTCCTTTTTAATTTGCATGATATTGAAAAGCGAAGAGTTTCCAACGAACAATAACGTCGTAGAAAGTTCTGTAAGTGGTGAAGCAAAATTTTAGTAAAGATTTCCATCAATATTACAGGATCTCAAAGGCAGAACAATCCTTTGTTTATGAATACAAACTTCCACTTGAAACGGCAGTTCAGTTCATCATTCAGCAAGCATCATGTCAACCCATAAACCTGAGTTTGTGCCAATCATAAATCACCTATTTCTGCCAGATAACTTTTCTGTAATACATAAAGTTTCTCTAAAAAAGAAGTGCATAAAACTGGTTGAACAAACAATATTCCTTTATTCGGCTTAATCAAATAAAATATGCATTACTGTATTTCTAACCCTGTAGGTTCGGTCTTGTGCCAAAATATCACAAATTATAATTACTGCTTTCAACCGTCTCTTCAGAATTCCAACTAATTATTTGAATACTTCCCATAATTCTGCACGCAACCTTATCCCTTTACTCTCATTACACTGTCATGCCAGATTTTGTACGATAACTCAGGGCCGAAATTCAACTTTATTTTCAAATCCCTTCATTTCTTACCGCTTTTATTTTGCTTTCACATTCGACCTCTTACTCTTCCCAGCGAAAATCCTGAAGTCACTTTTAATCCTAAATCCCATTACACTGCCAATCCGAACCCCCACACAAACTTCCAACGACAGGATTGTATTGAAGCTATGATGTCGATATTTCGCGGTTGGCCAACATTTGCAAGTCAACCAACGAACGTTTCGGTTGGAGAAGCTTGTCGAAGCAAGGGTTAGTGTTGGTCCGGGCGAGGGAGATGCGCAATGCCAAGCGGGCGAGGTGCTAAACCACTCATGTCGGGATTCATGTGTAATTTTTTGACTAGAAATTGGGCGATGCTTCTCATGCTTCCCAGAAAACATTATCGGACAGAAAGTTCACGGGAATAAGTAATGACGCCGTGCATTTGTTCTGCGTGGTACCCTAAAGCGAATTGGTGTTTGCTACGAGTAGCGCCACACCTAAACCTTAGCCGTCAATTTGTTTCAGAATTTATTTTGACTCAGATTTTATTCTTTTTGAATTATATGTGCGATTATCTCAACACATCGTTTGTACAATATTTTTGTCTTTTAACTACGATCTTCCTAATGAGTGCCGAAAAATCCTCCTTCCAACTGGTTTTTTATATTAATGCGTGAGGTCCTTTGATCCGCAGAAATTGTGGACCGAATGTTGCAGGACATAGTTATCTGTTGGCATGATTATATATTCAGACCAGGTTGTATCGCTACTGCTAACATTTATTCAAGTTCAGTCCATTAAACAAAAGATTACTTAAGAAGAAAATGAGGCAGTAAAAGTTTCGACAGTAATGGTATCAAAAGAATGTTCGATCATGATCCTACATTTCTCTTTACTTAGTTGATCCAGCATATCACAATTCTTGACTTTTTACACTCGTGCATTATACTGATTGCGTTTATTTTACTTTCAGACTTCATGGAGTGTATTGTATTCAGAGCTTATCATTACTGACGATGAGAGAGATATGTAGAGGTGATGTACTCCAGAATTAGAGCAGAACTGCTAAAAAGAAGCGATATATCACAAAGCCGTAGAAAAGGATTTACAGTGAAAAAATGTATGAAAATTAACGACCACGAAAAACTAATTGAGTCCCACTCTACTGTGCTGAATTAAGATTCACTACGCATAAATTACTTTCAAGTCAAAGGAAATGTGTGTGACAGTAATGGCTTTAGTTTGCCTTTTATTAATCGCGGTCCAAGAAATTTTGGTTACAGCAATTTGCAAACTAAACGGTGAAGAATAAAATGTAACAAAGCAGTCTTATTTGTTTTTGCACACAACAGTACATTTTAACTCTATAAGATATTAATGGTAGTCTCTTTTTAAGAAAACACGGCACATGTTCATTTTATTAATCTTACAAATTTTGTAATTTGCAGATGAAACCATATGCGATTTTGTTCCGTTAAAGACACATCGTTGATACTGTGTACCATACATGAATTCTGCAGATTTCTGTCAGAAAAGTTGCTTAATGGATGAGCAAACGATTGCTCATCATCTTTCGGAAACGACATACCTGTGCTTTTGTGCGCAAAATGTATGCTAATCGATTGTGGATGATCAGTAGGTTTTGTCGTCAATTATCTTTAGAATTTTCAACGAAAATATGAAGTTGTCGTTTTGCATTCATTTTTATTTTCGTTGTAAACAAGTCTTCCTCGAGGAGTTGTTGCGGTGGTATACATGTATCGGACACGATCGGATCACTCGTTTTAACTCGTTTTATCTTTAGTTTGATGGTTTTATTTGCCTAAAAAGTTACGTGCTGTTTCAATCCCTCATAACTTTCAGGACTTGAGACTTAAATATTACCGTCTTATGACTTGGTTTCGTTTATGAATTTTATTCATATTGAAAGCAAATATATTTTAACTTCGTGATGAGCAACAGCATCATAATTGCGAGTGCTACTGGCCATCATATCGTGTTTGCCAGCACTTTGTTTCCTTATACTGAAATGCAATGCACATTTTGAACGTAATTTTTTGCTGTGTAAGTCATGATATTTTAAAATTCTCTAGGCTTAATATAAGCGTTTTCACTATACTCAACATGGACGAGACGAAAAATAGGTTACAAGAACGCTTTGTGATAAGGTAACTAGCATGAGGCATTTCATCGCTCGTTTTGCGTTATATTTTATGAATAGTCATATCTAAAAGACTGTTGGACTAGAATGATTTCCGCAGTGTATGGCTGTAAGTAGTTATAGTGTCATTAGTGCCTGGTAATATTTCTCAAATTAATTTAACAGTTGTGGCCATTAACGCATGTTTGTATTAAAGTACATTTAATTCTAAAGAATCATACATTGTTTACAACATTTTTCTGTGAATTATATCTCGCTTTATCGAAATCTTTACCCTCATTCTCTGATTTGGCTTGTAGGAGGTTATGGTATATGAAATTACGATTCGACACTGCTGTGCAGTTTAGAAGAGTTAGTTGACAAGTTCGAACCGAGCTTTTGCTTAGTAGGGAGTTTTTCAATTACTCATTTTTGATTTCTAATAATGTTTGATAACTTATGTAATTGTAAAACCGGTAATATCAGCATTATTCATTAAATGAAAAAGTCTCGTAAAAGTGGATTGAAAGGAATTCAGTTCCTTTCTTCACAAAAGATCCACTGGTATCATCGTTTGACTGCTTTTCATTAATGTTTATCAGGAATTCTGTTTTCATTAAAAAATATTCCTGCCGAGCTCAAGAAGTGCATCAATGCACTCAGGTAATTGCTGTGCAAGTTGCTGTCGTGTACATAAACTTAGTTTTTTGCCAAACATTTCTTCCCTTTTCTGTTGTTGTAGAATCAGTGTTGGTAATGTGTTGATAAAAAGTAGGTTTTGATGTCATTCTTAGAAAAAGTCTGTTAATATTTGTAAACGCGAATACTCGGGTAGAGAATTTGCGTCTAAGCTCAACTGCCAATCACTTCGAATTTACATGTTGTCCATAAATATTTGCAGTAATCCAATATTTTTCCAAGCTTTACGATTAATTTTACGCCACTACTTATTGTTTTGATACAGAAATCAGTTGAATGGGCTTTATCCGTTATTGCCGTAAAATTTTTCTGAGTGTACCATTCTTTAATTCTTTTCATCTCTCGTCAATTTATGCTATTGTTCAAGTATTCGTCGATATGACAGTTATCCATCACAGTTAATTAACTCAAGTCGTTATGATAAACTTCAGCAAAATCATCTAGTGCGAGGATTAAACTCTTTGTGATTGTCCTCTGGTTTGATACATTTACCCATCAATTTTAATTATATTGATCAAGTTGTTGCATGACAGTTGTTATTACTGCAGTTTTGTTGTTGTGTGTTCTTTGCAGAAAGCTGTCTTCCCTTGTCGGCTTTTGATAAATATTATTTTCTCTAAGTTGACTTGCGTTCATGAATCATGGTTCCTAAACCATAAAAAGCTGATGTACGCATCGTACATGAGCGTATTTTTCGGATGCAATTTGTTCATAACTTGATTAGGTCTTTTAGTATGAAGTATTTTTGAGATCGAATTGGTTTCAAGCATTTTTGTACTTGTGGTGCTTTAACATTTCACTGTAGTAAATCTAATATATGCTATTTTATCGTCTTCTGCAGGTTTGAGTTTAAGAGGAATTCAGTAACTGTACATTATATGTCACGTCCTAATTGTATAGATTAGTTTTCAGGATCTGGTATGATCACTTCACAAGTGTAACTTGGATGATGATACCCAGCAGTCGTGGTATTTTACCACCACAATCAAAGTGCTACAGTACAACATCCAGTTTCTGCCCACAACAACCGTTCTGGCCTCCAACTACACCTACAGTAGCCAGTATCCGGTCATCAGTAAATACAGCTATCCCTTTCAATTCTCCCGGTGCAGCTGCTAGCACCACTACAGACCTCTTGAATTTCCTACATGCGGTGTTTCTCAATAACTCGATCACTAATAATGGACCGAGATCACTGAGCAGTGGGCAGCGCTATTGGTCAGCATTACCAGCAGTGTGCAGTAGTGGCACAGTACTTACTCCTTTTACCAGCCACTCCTCAACTACAACCAGCAGTAACTACCAATGTAATATTAATTTAGAAGGTAAGAGCGGTATTAATTATAACGGTAACTTCAGTACTCCTAATTTTGATCATGAGATCGGTGCAGATATTGACTACACTGGTGGTTTTTTCGACAGTTCAAGTAGCACATTGTCTACTTCTGCGCAAGAAATGCCGTTTTATATTAAACGGCAGCACTCGAGGTATGTTCCTGGTTACTTTCCTTTGCATAGAGTTTGCTATTACTTTAAATAAGTATTTCGCTTTTTTTTTTAGTACAAATTGTCGTATTATATTCATATATGTTTAAAACATACAAAATGTGAATTGACGCGTAATACTTCAAGTCATATGTTTTTATCATTCTGCTGTTCAAACAAAATGGAAATTTTTTATTTATAAAATGTTTCAAAAGCGATACCTTTGTAGTTTTGCATCTGAAAATGATGTACCTGCTGGAATTGTTTCGCTGAATAGCGATTTGGTGGACTTTGCATGTCAGTACCGTTGGTCAACAGCAACTGAACAACATAAATGTGCATTAAAGCTCCGTTGTTGTTCGTCAAAGCAGTGGTCGTCTTATCACAACGACGGTAACAGCAGTTCATCTTTAAGGAGTATGGAACAGAAAGCCGAATGCTCAGTTATTCGTCCAAGAATGGTTGGTCTTTTAATTTTTGAATCTTCTAACACTTTTTGCTACACCGCTGTTCTGTAAAGAAGACAGTTTAATGCTTATCAGTTTAGTTATTTTCTGCAGCAGATGAACACATTATTAATCAAAGACTGAAATGCCAGGCTTTTTATTAACCGATGTTATTGTTCGAATTTCATTGCGACCTTAAATTCTCTCCATTTTGTCTCTTAACAGCTGTACAGCCTGATAAATTCGGAATATCAAACGCATTTTGTACTGATGACTTCTGTCTTCACCCTCGTGTTATTTCAAACATTTTTTTTGCTAATCGTGGTATCTTCTGCCAAAAAATCTCATTCTCAAAATGAAGTTATTCGATTACTAAATATCGCTGCTCATTACTCTGGAAAAAG